GGGATCGGGCAGTGTTTCGTTCTGCTGTGCATGGGGTCGCTATGAGTCGGAAATGACTCGACGGCACTTAACAACAACAACAACAACAGAAAATTCTTTAACTGTTGTCCCCTCTGCATTCTCTATTCTTGTCCTTTTGAATTCCTAAAGAAAACATCTGACCTCATTTTTTGCTCACTGCATCTCTTAACCTTTCATACTTCCCATTTATCTCTGCTGCATTCTGGGTAATTTCTTTAGATTTATCTTCCATTTGAGTAATTTTCTCTTCATGTGGGTCTAATCTACCAGTTTAGCCTGTCTATTGACTGTACTTTTCATTTCTAGTTCTATTCCAACTGCAAATGGTCTTTTAACATAGCATCTTATTTTCTCATATTACTTGCTCTTTTGTATATTTAATAATTTTATGCATATTTTTAGAGGTGCTTTATTTGAATTTCTTTCTCAACTAGAAAGGCAACACAGTAATTTTCCCTGCTCCTCAATGTGTATATTCTTTCTCCTTTCTAGTTTATTTTGTAATTTGGTTGAAAGTTTATAGAGCAAATTGGTTTTCCATTCAACAATTCATACACATTTTGTTTTCTAATATTCATTGCAATCCCTACAATGTAACAGCACTCTTCCTACTTCTTTCCTATGTTTATTATTTCTATTTACTTTCTTTCCTATCCCTTCCTGCCTTCTGGATTTTGTTCCTTGGAAAATGCTGGCTTTTGATTTCATATGGTTGATTGTTCTAGAAAGTGCGTATTTCCCTGGTCTTACTGTTCACCCTACAGGCCTATCATTTGGCTGAAAGTTGAGCCCTGGTGATGAGTTCAGTTGCAAGCTTGAAGGGTTTCTAAGGGCCATAATCTTGGGGGTTTCACAGTCTCTATCAGACTGTAAGCCTGGTTTTTTTGTTTGTTTGTTTTTTATGATTTTAAATTTTGTTCCACATTTTCCTCCCACTCTATCTAGGACCTCCTATTGAACCCTTTCAGAGTGGTCAGCAGTAGTAGCCAGCACTGCTAGAGTTCTGATCTCAAAGAGTTATGGAGGCTGAGGTTCATGTGGACCATTAGTCCTTTAAAAGACTAATTGTTTTCTGTGTGTTTGATTTTCTTTGCTTTCTTTTGCTCTGGATGAGGAGAAACTTATTATGTATTGCCTTTCCCTTTGACCCAAGTTAATAGTTGGCACCTTAGGTGCCTGCTCACAAACTTTTAAGTCCTCAGTCACTATTCACCAAAGTAGGATGCAGAACTTTGTCTTTGTGGACTACATTATGCCACTTGACCTCCTTAGTGTACCCCAAGCCTATGGTCCTGAGTCTTCAGGCCCAGTGACTCATTTCCCTCATTTGGTTATGGTCATAACCTTACCCCCTGTATGCCCTATTATATTCATGGATATATTTGCAACATATGTAAATACATATGTGGAAATATCTGTCAAACCTGTGTATTCATGGTGTAGTCCCGTTCACTTGCCCACATCATTCAGCTTGAATGTTTATCTCTGTATCTACTCTTAGATTATTGTTATTACTGTTCTTGCAGGATTGTGTATATAACAGCATTTACCTCTGTTGCCTTGTGCTCCTCCTAGTGTCTTTGTCTTGATCATCTTGTGCTGACCTCCCGTTACTGTATGTTGCCTTTTTCTTCACTCAAGTTAACATGTGTCTACCCTCCAGTTAGTGATTTACCCTCCCTTTTTTGACTTTTTACAGTAGTGGTTGTGGGTGGTAGTTATTCCTTATGATGAGACTGGCAATCAACTCCATGGTAGGATCTACCACAAGCAGTTGAGTAGCTGCCTTTGGGATGTGGTCTGCTTCCTGTATCTAAGGAGAAGCCTTGGGAATGGCCTCTAGCCTATGGCATGCTTGGACCCTGCATGTACCCATGTCGTCCTTCAGCAGGCTGCTATGTTCTGCTGACCTGGGGACTGACAATGGACTTAAGTTAATGGCCTGCCCTTTGGTTTGGTAACATCAGGACTGTGCCTTTTTACTTGTCAAGCTTAGGGCTTCTCAGCCTCAGCAGCCAGCAGCTGTCTGAGTGAAGAAATGCCTCTAGCTCCAGTGGACCCCAAGGTTGAGGGGCTTTCACCCAGCCCCTAGAGCCTGGCACTTGGAACTTGGACTTAAAGCCTCCAAATTGTAAGAATAAACTCCTGTTTGTTAAGGCCATCCTATTTCTGGTATATTTCTTGTCAGAGTGGCAGAACAGTGGTCTCATACAATTTTTATCCTTTTGTGATTGACTGACTTCACTCAGCATAATGTCCTTTGGATTTATCCATGTTATGAGGTTTTTTATAGATTTGTTGTTATTCTTTAACACTGCATAGTATTCCATTGTGTATATGTATCATAGTTTGTTTACCCATCCATCCATTAATGGGCACTTAGGTTGCTATCCATCTTTTTGCTATTTTGAATGATGCTGGATGAACGTGGGTATACATACTTATTTTTATTTTATTTATTTTTGTTTACATACTTATTTTATATTCTATTCCTGATCATTTCATTGTCTGAAATTCTAGAAGGTCTAATCTTACTGTATTTCTTCAAACAATGTCATAGGTTGTTTTTTCATTGTTCTGTGACTCAGGACTGTGAATTCATGTTCAGCTGGGTCATTACTTATGGGAATCTTTTGTTACCTGGATTGGAGTTGGGGGCTTCTCAAGAAGTTCTGCCTTGGCTTATTCTGGAAGTCCCAGGGGTATCACTACCCAGGGCCTCTCTAAATATTAGTTGGTAGTTCACAGATCACTCACATAGTGTAAACTTTAGTCCCAAGGTTATGTGAGAGAAGGCTCATGGTTGGGAATTCTCAGGGGAAAACTTTTTTATTACCCTCATCCAGATCTAAGATGATCATCTGCCTTCATTGGTGGCTTTTTCTCCTGTTCCACCCTTTCACTGAAGATATGGTCCATCTAAGGTTTCATTTGCATGAAGGTCTCACCTCTGGTCCCAGGTAGATATTACAACCCAAGCCCCCTGGGTACCAACATTGGCAACACTCCTAGGACAGAGGAAACATTGACTGTCTTTCATGCTCTGGATTTTCCTTTTTGTGTTTTATGCAAAGAAATGTATTTAAAAGGATGTTATTTTTTCTCCAGTGTTTCTAGGTGGTTTGTAGCAAAGAGCATGTTTAGATTATGTAGTCTGCCATATTGCCAGAAATGGAAGCAGAGTACATGTCTTGGGTTTGAATCCCAGCTTATGCTGGTAGGAAGTCACTTCTTTATGAGCTTTAGTTTTTCTGTCTGTAAGGTGGGAATGATGGTCATGAAGATTAAATAAATTAACATATATGAACATATATATATATGTAAGTACCATGCCTACCACATGGCCCCCCCATTTCGATCTTTGTCAAGGTGCTCTTGGTGGAAAATTTCCCCAAAAGAAATTCAAATTGGTGTAAGCCAAAAAAGAGAATTGAGTGCCTCACATAAACTAAAAGTTCAGGCGTGCCTGGATCCAGAGGCTCAGATGTTATTAGGAAGATCTTTCTGCATCTCTTGATTCTTGCTTCCTGCATGTTGGCTTCATTGTCCCCTAGGCTCACCCCTTGTGAAGGCAAAGATGGCCTCCAGCGGTTCCAGACTTAAATTCTACCAGTTTAGCCACTCCAGCAGGAAGGAGAGTTCCTTATTCCCAATAACTTCAACAGCAATTTCAGGATGAACCAGTCTCCTGGGCCAGGTGGATTGACTGCTGTGACTGTCCTGACCTGGCCATGTTCCCCTCTCTGGAGACAGGGGTGGTAGCATCTTCCTCACTGAAAACATCATTTGAGAATGGAGGGGGTGGTGTTTCCCAAAGGCAAGCGGGGAGGACAGTACTGGGAGGGACAGAAAACAGCTGCCCACCATCTCTCCTGTCTCTCCTCATGGCTAGTATTCCCCAGCCAACTGCAGGTGCACATGATCCTGCAGCTCTGTCCTGTGCTCGGGGACCACACGTACTCTGCCCGTGTGAGCACTGTCTTGGGCCAGCGCTTTCTACTGCCAGCTGAGAGCACCAAGCCCCAAAAACAGGTACCTAAGTCCACCTGTTTGCTGCCTTCTGGGGGGAGTGGGGGCAACAGGAAGTTATATAGCCTGGGACTGGCAGCAGCCCTCTTGGCCTTCAAGGCTGTCTATAGCTCCTGTCTTGCTGTGTGGCCCTAGATAAGTGCCACCCCCTCCCTTGGGCCTCATTCTGCCTATGAGTTCAATAAGGAAATTGAACTGGCTGATTTATAAAGGCCCCTCTAAGTCTGCCACTCTTTGAGTCTATTTAGTACAAAAGGTAAAAGAGGGGGGTGTGTGTGTGTGTGTGTGTGTGTTTTAAGGTAACTCTATCTGCTGTAACAAGAGTAATACCAAAGTACCAGAGACTTAACCCAGTAACTTCTACTTCATGTTAAATCTAATTAGTGGAGTAGAGATGGGGGACTGTGGTCCAGGCAGTCACTCAGGGATCCAGGCTGTTGATATCAGCCAGCAGGTGAAGTGAGATAGTACATGTTCATGTAGATTTCTTTATATACTTCCATTCATATTCCATGGGCTATAACTCAAATCATGTGGCCTCACCAGATTGTAAGAGGCTGGGAAATGTAGTTTAGCTGTATGCCCAGGAGGAAACTGATTTGATTTTGTTGTTCAGTCTCTTCCACAGTATGAGTGTGCAGGTATGGTGGCGGGCACAGGCACATGTGCATGTGTGTGTGTGTGTATAGAGGAAATGAATATAACTCCATACCAGGGAGGCAGGGAAGAACAACTTGCCTCCCCCATTTCAGTTAGAGCAGAGTACTCAGCTTGTTGGAACATATGTGGCTGTATACTGACATGCCTCTCCCACCTTTAGGTCCTGGATGAAGCCCTCCTCAGACGCCTCCGCCTGACCCCCTCCCAGGCTGCACAGCTGCCCTTGCATCTCCACCTGCATTGTCTTCTCATTCCAGGTCCTGGGCCCCAGGAGGCCCCCATAGAGCTCCTGGCACCCTTTCCCCCTTATTTCTCAAGGACCCTACAGTGCCTGGGACTCCACCAACAGCAGTCATCCCTTTGTTCCTGATGTTCACTGGAAGGCAGAGGGGTGCAGCCGGGTCCAAGGAAAATGAGATTGGTGTTTAGCATGGAATAAGGCCATGGTTTATGATGTTGGCTTCTAGGGGCAGACAGGCCTTGGTAAGCCACTTGCTGTGTGTTGCTGGGCAAGTGACTTCAGCTCTGTAGACTTGAGATAATAAAAGTACCTATCTCATGGTATTGTTTTGAGGATTTGCTAAGAAAGTAAATGCTTATCATGGATCATGATTTCTGGTAAGTTGAATATGTGGTCTTTTTATTTGGCTGTTTCTAACCCCATCCTGACTCAAAGGAGACTGGTTAGATCTTTTTATGGAAAAAAAAATAGTGAAATATATCAAACATACAGAGGAGTACATAAAACACATTTCTGTGTTTTAAAGAATAATTATAAAATGACACCTATATACCTACTATTTGGGCCAAGGAATCGAAGCATCACTCTCCTTCCTTGGCCCCACATTGGAACTGACGTGCTCTGCTGCTGACCAACGGGTTAGAGGTTTGAGTCTACCCATAGGCACCTAGGAAGAAAGCCTGGCAATCTAATTCTAAATAATCACCCATTGAAAACTCTGATGCACATGGGAATGGAATCAACTCCATGGCCACTGTTTTTTTTGTTGTTGTTGTTTAAATCTCCTTCAGGAAGCTTGAGAAAATCCTCATACCTCTCACTATTCTACACCTCAGAGGTTCTGGTTTAATTAGTTTGGGGTAGAGACCCTGGCATTGGTCATTGTTAAAAGCTCCCCAAGGGCTTCTGTTCAGTCTAGGTTGAAAACCACAGCTCTAACTTGGAATAATTATTTCCTTGTTTTTTTTTTTTTTAAAGTTTACTATATACATATGTATCCCTAAACAATATATTGCATTTTGCCTGTTTTTGAAGTTTCCATAAATGGATTCATGCTGTATATATTCTTTTGTGATTTGTTTTTGCTTCATATTGTGAAATGCATTGTATTGCATGTAGCTTATATTGCAGTGTTTGACTATTCCAGTTTATCCATTCTACCATTAATGGTCATTGGGTTGTTACCAACAATGCTGCTGTGAACCTGTCTGTACATGTTTCCTGGTTCAGTTTTGCAAGAATTTCTGGATCAGAGTATATGTATCTTCAGATTGACTTGTATATTAGTTTCCTGTGGCTGCCATAACTACTTATAAACTTGGTGGCTTAAAACAACAGAAATTGATTCTCACAGTTCTGGAGGCCCAAAGTCTCAAATCAAGGTTTTAGCAGGACCACTCCTTCCAAAGCTTCTAAGGGAAAATCCTTCCTTGTCTCTTGCAGTTTCTGGTGGTTTGTGACTGCATCACCCCAATCTCTGCCTCTGTCTTCAGTGTCCTTCTTTGTGTCTGTCTTGTCTTAACTTGTAGAAAGACACTTCTCATTGGATTTGGGGCCTACCCAAATAACCCAGGATGATCTCATCTCAAGATCTTTAATTACATATGCAAAGACGCTTTTTTCAAACAAGGTCACATTCACAGGTTCCAGGTGGATATATCTTTTGGGGAACTACCACACAACCCAATACAGGTAAGAAATACCAAATTTTTCACATGAATGGGCCTGCTGGCTGTCATTTTTAGTGGACTTTGGTCCACTGCTGAAGAAAAGACAAGCCCACTTCTCCTGGATAAAGGGTCTCCTCTTTGTGTCATGTTGTAAGTATTCCTGTGTCCATTAGATCTCATTCTGTCCTTTCCTCCTTTTCACTGCCATGTTACCTTAGGGCAAGCCTTGTTTCTTCTCTCAGACTCAGTTTCCTCATCTGTAAAATTGAGACTTACTCCTCATCCCCACCTAAGGATCAGAGGTACCAGGGGAGACAGAGACAGGAAGCCTCATGTCTCTGTCACTGGGTGAGAATTCTGGACTTTGCTCCACAGAGGAGTTGCTCATGGCTTCTAGTTCTCTAGGATGATGGCACACTAGTACAGGCTCCCGCGCCACCCTGTCCTCTTTGCCCTCCAATTGAAATGGAGCCAACCCCATACTACTTCACTTGCTCCTTTTTATTTGACCCTGAATCCAGGGCAGGGGCAGTGGGAACCGAAGCAGGGGCTTTTCTAGCCTCGCATCCCCCATGCCCCCCAGCCTGTGGTGTGCACCAGTAAGGGGTAGGGGTTCTGGGAGGCTCAGCCCCTCCTTGAGGCAGGCCTCAGCCTTGGGTTTGTTGCAGAGTCTGGCCTTGAACTTGCCTTTGGCCTTGACCTTCCTATGGGAAATAGAAAGTGCTCCAACTTCAAAGGACAGAGGCCACAAGGCGCTTCCAGGACAGGGACCACGAAGACTCTGGAGAACAACAGCCTCAGTGTGAAAGGAGGGAGAATGGGAAGAGATGATCAGGAAATCTGCCCACAAAGGGGGTTCCCAGGGGTACAAGCCCTTCTCTTGGGGTTCAGCCAGCTTGGGAACTGCCCTCTGACTGTGCCCTCCAGCCCTGACCCCAGTGCTCAGCCTTATCTGCTGGTGTGCAAGTCACAGTTGGAGGCCCACCTTGCTTAATCTCTCACTGGGTGCTGGCCTCAGTGCAGGCTTAGGTGAGAGGGCAATCAAAACCTTGGCTGTAGGTAGAGTCATCAAGGCTTTGCCTGTGGTCGACAGGGCCCGAGAGCCCACCAGTTTGTTGTGCTGCAGTCTGTGGGCCCGACCCTGGGGTCGGAATACACAGGAAGAAGGCAGACGGGCCTTGGTGTAGAGGCTGGGGAAGCGGTAAGGGGCTGTGGGAGCAAGGGAGGCTGTGAGGGCAGGCCTGGGAAGAGCCCAAGGCTGGCCAGCTTCTGTGAAAAGTGCAAGCTCAGGGCCCAGTGGAATGGGGATGGGGTGAGGGCAGCTGGAGCCCTCCCAGTTCCTCCTCCAGAGGCCTTGGGAAGAACACAGGGTTTGGAATCCAACAGACCTGGGTCTGCATCTCAGCTCTGCCCCTTCTGAGCTGTGCAACCTCAGGCAACTTCCTTAAACTTCCTGATTCCTCGGCTGGAAAATGGGGATAAGAGCACCTACCTGTCTAGGTTGTTGTGAGGACTAAAGGAGCTGATTAGGTAGCGACCCAGTGTAAACTGTAAAGTGTTGTACAAATACTAGTTCCTATCCGCCACTCCTCGGAAGGAAGGTTGGGCAATCCTACTTCCGTAGTGATACTGCCTCGGAAACCCAAGGAGGGGTCGCTATGAGTCGGGGCTGACTTGATGGCACATAACAACAACAACAACAACAATCCTCCAGAGGCGACTTTGCATGGAGGCAAAGGCAGAATACTGCAGCATCAAACGCTTGGGCTCTGGAGAGAGAGCAACCTGGAGTTGAATCCTGGTACCTTTGAAATAAGTCTAACTGCCTCAGAGGAGCCTACATTGAAGGAGCCTCGTTTGGTTGCATATTTTTAAAAATACTTAGGACATGATTCCTGCTTGCTGGGTGGTTCTTGGGTGGGGGTAGGAGACAGATGCAGGTCGTTGGCAAGGTCTTGGACTACAGTAGGAAATTGCCTTGGGACACTGAAGCGTACAGGGGGCAGTGGTCTTACCCTGGGCCTGGGGGTTCTTCAGACTCAGTGGCAATCTGTTCAAGGGGTGAGGTTGCCTGTCCCCACTAGCAAAGGTCATGGTGAAAATGCAGCCCTTCCTGGTGCCAGGGGGATCCCATTTCCAGAGATTGGGGCGGCCTAGGGCTGGGGCCCTTTTCGCCTTGCCTTTCTTCCCCTTTCCAGGGGCTGAGGTGGAAGCAGTGGAGTCAGGCTTTTCAGTGTGCCCCAGGCTTCTGGCCCCAGCAACCTTCCTAGAAGGTGACCTGTGGATGAGGTCCCCGGAGTCCTTGCCTTCCCCAGAGTCTCGTTGGGTCAGCAGGTGAGGGAGTGCTGGGCGGATGGCCATCCTCCGGTGACACATCACTGTGGGCTTCTTGATGGTGGAGCCCTCTACCAGGAGCCGGATACCCACATACTGGGGCACTTCCACGGCAGGCTGTGGGGAAGATGAGGAGAGAAGGCCCTTTCAGACAGGACCAGTGCAGAGAAGGATGGAATTAAGTTCTGCGGCATCTGGTCAGGAGACATTTCTGATCTAAAAAATAGGTCTTCTAACAGGTCTGGTCCTGGAGGCCTGACTTTGTATCTAGAGGGTTTGGAGCTGTCAGATGATGGCACCAGGGATTGGTAACCCAGAGAGGGGGGAGGCCTAGCCATGCCCCCACTAGCAACCATCCACTCCATTGCCACCCCATCATCACATGGCCCCACGCTGCAGGCCTCTGCTCATGAACAGTTTCCTGAGGTGAGACAATCAGATTCTCTGCAAAGAGAATGTGAGTTAAGACCCCACATAGTTAAGAGCCTTGGACCCTGTCTAAAGCCTCCCACAGACCCAAGTTATGTAAGAGCAGAAACTAAGGGCTTTAAAAGTAGTCTGTGAAGAAGATAAAAGTAGCAAATAGCAGAGGGAGGCAGAGAAAAGGGCTCAGGGCTCAGGAGAAGAGCTCCCTTACAGTTCTGAGTTCCCAGTAACCCACACTGTACTTCCTACAGCTGGGCACCAGAAGAGTCCCCTAGTTCTTGCTAACAATCCTCCTTTAACTGTGAGCTAGTTTGAGGCATTTCTGTGCCATCAAAGGATCCTGATACAACTCTATCTAAATATCAGAATCATGGAGAAGTTGTTAAAAAAAAAAAAAAATACAGATATCAGAGTTTCCAAATAGCCCCAGTTGATAAGGAAAAGCTCGTCTTAAAAGAGGAGTCCTGGCTGGTAAATGTAGAAGGAACTATATAATTAGAAATTTACCATTTTGCAACTGTAATAAAATAGGCAAGAATCAACACTGGTGTCAAAACAGGTGAAAAGGATGACAGGGAGTGTGTAATTTGCACACAGCCAAAGCATCACCTTACAACTGAATTGCAAAGGGAAGGGTGTAGCTTACAATGGAGACATTTGGTAGCCACCACCTTAAAACCACAGTCAGACTTAGCATCACCCATCATGAGGCCCTCTGATCATATGTGCCTCATGATGCCGTCCGTCCGTATGAGGTACCTATCACCACCTCTGAAGCATCTGTGCCAAAAAGTGTTTAACCTGAGCCTCATCAAGCTTTTTGACCTAACTCTGAGTTTACAGGACATTGAGATGACAGAAGAACAAATAAGACAACACCACAAAGAAACAATCAGATAAATCCAGAATGTGGGGCAGTTCTACAAAACCACCAGCCTGGTCTCTTCAAAAGGGGAAAAAAAGGTGGTAGGACTGTTGTGGATTAAAAGAGATTAAAGAGACAAAACCACCAATGTGAGGCGTGAATCTTGATTAGATTTTGGGTTAGGAAAAAAAAAAAAAAGTTACAAAAGACATTTTTTTATAAAAAAAAAAAAAGTTGTTTGCTAACCCTATACACGGTCATGGGCACATTTTGGGGCAACCAAAGAAAGCTAGCAAATGCAGACATGTAGTGCATCCCCAAGCCAGACATTATGACTCAATGTCCAGAGGCAGGGCCTCCAGACATCCACACTTTAAGAAAGCCTCCCAGGCGATTCCAGCCTGTGAACCAGCATTATGGGAACTACGGCACTGCAGTATTAATTACCTTTCCCCTTGGCTCTGTCTTATTTTCCAGTCCTTGTATTTCCTCCATTGCATTTTTTGAAGCCAAAATGCCAACATATCAATTTAAAATATGATCAGTCTATGACAAAGACCAGGACACTTGGGTCATGTGATTAGTGCATTCTCTCCCTTGTACCCAAACTTTGAGGAAAGCTGAATCCTAAACTAAAGCTACATTCTTTAAAGTTTAAAGAATTAAACTGCCACAAGAAATTGTTGTCACAGGGCTCACTTTTAAAATAGGTTTTATGATTGATTTCTTCCCCTATATTTCATTTATTTTGTTGTTAAGAATATATACAGCAAAACATATACCAATTCAACAGTTTCCACATGTACAATTTAGTGACATTGACTACATTCTTCAAGTTGTGCAACCCTTTTATTACCCTCTTAGAAATTTCTGAGTTGTTTCTCCCTCATTAATGTAACTCCCTGTCCCCTAAGGTTCCTATTTAATCTTTCAAATTGCTGTGTCAATTTGATCCTATATAGATATGTAGTTCTTAATAGAGCACAGTGCTGAAGGCAGACCTTTTCCCTAGTTAAGCTAAACTATTGCTTGGTTTTAAGACTTCAGGGGATACTTTTGGTTGAATGTTTAAAGATTATCTCTGGGCAATAGTTCCAGGGGTTCTTTCAACCTCCATGGTGCCATAAAGTCTAGAGTCCATGAGAAGTTGAAATTCTGCTCTGCATTTTCCCACTTGTGACCAGAATTCTTCTATGGACTCTTTGATCAAAATATTCAGTAATCATAGCTGGGCACCATCCAGTTCTTCTGATCTCATGGCAAAGGAGGCAGTTGTTCATGGACGCAATTAGCCACACATTTCCATATCCTCAGCCTATTCCTGACTCTCCTTCATCCTCTGTTGCTCCAGATGAATAGAGACTCATTGCTGTGCCTTGGGTGGCCACTTGCAAGCTTTTAAGACCCCAGGCACTATACAAAGAACTAGGAGGTAGAACAGAAGCATTAAACACATTATTAGGCCAATTTACTGGATGTCCCATGAAACCATGACCCTGAACCTCCAAACCAAGGAACCAAATCCCATGAGGCATTTGGTTGTACATAAGCAGCCTTGGCAGCTGCTTTTTTCCTTTTCTTTTTGTCATTGTCATTTTTTATTTGTCATTCATGGTTAAGGTTGTGTGTCAACTTGGCTGGGCCACAGTTCTCAGGGGTTTGGTAATTATGATGTGGTCATAATACCATGATAAGTTCTAATATAATGTGATCATCTCCATGATGAGATCTGCTCATAGCAAATCTGCTATGAGCATATCTCCCTTTCAAAGGGAGTTTTCTTGGGAGTGTGGCCCACTTGCAATATATATGGACATTCTGGCAAAGCTCTCTGGGTTTTTGCTCAATCTGGATCCTGCATCATCATGATCTGACCTCTGGTTCTTTGGACTTGAAGTAACAGCCTGCCAATTTTGGGATTATTGCCTTCATAGCCTGTGAGCCAGAAGCCTGCCATCTTACCTGCCAATCTTGGGTTTGTCAGCCTCCACAGCCAGCAGCCTGCTGTATCTTGGGTTCATCAGCCCCTGCAGCTATGTGAGTCAGGAGAAGCCTCCAGCTTGATGGACTTGCCAGCTTCTACAACTGTGTGAGTCATTTCCTTATGATAAATACCTCTCTCTAACAAAAAAATAAAATAAAAAAACACCCCAAACTCACTGCCATCAAGTTGATTCTGACTCATAATGACCCCATTGGATTTCCAAGGCTATAAATTTTTATGGAAGATTCCCATCTTTCTTCCATGGAACAGCTGGTCAGTTTGAACCAATGACTTTTTTGTTTTGTTTTGGTTAACAGCCAAATGCCTTAACCATTACACCACAAGAGCTTTTTTTTTTTCTCTCTCTCTCTGAGCTTCACTGCTTTTGCTTCTCAAGAGAACCCAGCTTAAGACAATATCCACCACACAACTTTTGCCAATTTTACTTTTTACAGGTGTACAACTTACTGACAGAAATTACAATAATAGGCTGTGCAACTCAACCCTTAATCAGTGCGATTTTTCCATCACTGTTAACCTCCCTTTTCCCACTCCCTCTAGCCCCTGGTAACCACTAATAAACTCTGCTCTCTATATGTT